CAAGGAGACCGCGTAACAGCAGTCTCAGAACCCTCAGACGACTCACCCCCAGACTCAGCACCCCCATGCTCCGCACACGTAGGCGCAGCACCCCCAGACGTAGCACCCCCAGGCGCATCACCCCCAGACGCAGCATCCCCAGGCTCAGGACCTCCAGGCTCCTCACGCGCACGCTCAGCACCTCCAGGCTCCGCACCCTCAGGCTCCTCACGCTCAGAGCCCCCAGACTCAGCACCCCTACGCTGCGCACCCCCAAGCTCCGCACCCCCAGGGAAAACACCACTCCCAGCAGGACCGGAGTCACCAGTGACCTCAACAGGCGCATGGACGGGATGGTCTACCTGAGAAACATCTGAAGAAGCAGGACCTGGCGCGGGGAGGGGGTCTACCTGGGGAGGACCTGGGGCGAGAAAGAGCGGCGGGAGGGGGCGAGGAGCAGTGCGGTAGGGGAAGAGGCGGTAAAAGGGGACCGACTCGTCAAAGGTGACGTCCTGAGACGCAAAGACACGGCTCGAGGCGGGGTCGTAAAACTGCCAGCCAGGCGCGTCAGGGACAAAGCCAAGGAAGACACAAGGAATGGCGTGAGGGGAGAGTTTGTTCGCAGTGGTATCGCGGACAAAGGCACGAGCACCCCAGACCCGGAAACGTGACGCGTCGCCAACCTTCCCCGTCGACAGCAGTGTGGGCGAGGTCTCCGACAAGGAGACACGGGGCCAAAGGTTGAGCTGATGCGCGGCGTACCGGACCGCAAACGGCCACAAAAAATGGGGGGCAGCCGCATGGATCATGGAGGTACGAGCGACCTCCATGACTAAGCCAATGCGGCGCTCAGCAACCCCATTCTCCTGCGGAGAGGCCAGAAGCGTGCAAGTCTGGCGGATGCCGTGCTCCGCATAGAAGGCCGCCAAGAGGTCTGAGGAGAACTCACCACCTCTGTCAGACTGCAGACGTAGGACAGGAAAGTCTGACTGGAACCGCTCGCGGAGCTGGAGACGAGCAGCGCGGATCCAGGGGATAAGAACATCAGGGACATCCCCTTTGCACTGCAAGGGGAAGACCGCGGTGTAACGCGTGTAGTCGTCGACAACCAGCAGGAAGTACCGCTCGTGGCCCTATCCACAGACGCGGGCTGGGCCCCACACGTCCAGGTGGAGAGTCTGCAGGGGAGCCTTTATGGGAGGGAACGAGGAGGAGTGAGGAGCGGCGCGCTGCCGCCCCTCGACGCAAGGAATGCAGGGAGGCGCAGGCGAGGGAGGGAGGGCACGCAGAGACCTGGGAAGACCAGAGACCAGGAAGCGTGAGTGCATGCTACGAAGGCGAGGCAGTGAGGGGTGACCAAGGCGGTGGTGCCACAGGAGAGTGTCGTGCGACAGCCGGCGACACTCACACTGGGTAACTACCTGAGCAGACGCGTGTAAGTGGGGAGACAAAGGGGCGGAGTGCGACGCAGTGTTGAGGGTGTACAGACTGGACCCTGGTGCACGAGTGAACGTGGCTAGGTGGCGGCCAGTCCGGGAGCACGTGCAAATCGCCACACGCTGCCGGCCAGGGGTGAAGGTGTCAACCCCCACATCTTGGAGGAGAGCGTTGCTCACCAAGTTCGTAGAGAACGAGGGGAGGTGGAGACCAGACAGCTCACCAAACGGGACCGCCTGACACGGAAGCACGGTGGAAGACCGTGCAAGCACTGGGCCCCCCGAGGGGTCAGCCAGTGAGACAGGAACAGGTGCAGGGAGGGGAGTGACTGTGGTACTATCGCGAAAAAAACAGCGGGATGCACCAGAGTCAAGTGTGAAGGTGTGCAAGGCCTGTGCAGGTGCAGTACCAAGGGGAGCAGACTCACAAGCACCTAGTGGTGCAGGCGCTATACCAAGGGCTATTCCAGGGTCCGGTGGCACACACAAGTAACAGTCACCCTCAGCACTAACAGACAATGCATACATAGCAGCAATAATAGCCTCATAGTCAAGATCAAAGATAAGTACATCACGCCTAAGTAGGTCGCCCAGTTGGGGAACTCAGGAGCATTAGGAAACTTGACGCGCCAGGCGTCGCTAAGTCGAGCGAAGCATCGCTGCTCAATGTGAAACCCTGTGCACTGGCGACCAGCGCGGGGACCTGTGCGAATGATATAGGGGCAGCGACCAGGACCCCTAGAAGCCCCACGCCCGGCATACCAGTGAAGAAGCTGCTGGGAAGTGGGGGTCTGGCGCTGACGCTGCTGCTGCTGCTGCGGCTGCTGCTGGCCCTGACCACCACTGCCACCACCGCTCCCTCCTCCCCCACCGCCGCTGCTGCCACTTTCACCACTCCCAGTGCCTCCGCCGCCCCCACCACCACCTCCACCACCTCCACCCCCACGACCACCTTCACCACCTCCACCTCCCCCGCCACCTGCACCACCGCCACCTCCACCGCCACCCCCACCTCCCCTGCCACCCTTGCCGCCCCTGCCGCTGCGACGCTTCCCACTAGGAGCGGAAGCAGCCCCGACCTCCTCAACACCAAGGTAGTCGTGAGCAGCAGCTGCGGAGGTGTAGGAGGGGGTGAGAGGGGAGGGGGAGCATCCCTCAAAAAGGGGAGAGCGAGGAGTGCCACGAGCAGCACCTACAGCGAGGATGCTCTTCTTTGCTGCGAGGAGGTGCTTCTCGAAGTCGTCAACAGTGAGAGTGGTGGGGTCTAGCGCTAGGAAGTGGTTCCTGACGGAGCTAAGAGTGTCAGGGAGGCGGGTGACGAGGAAATAGAGAGTGAAGTACATCGGGGGGGGGGGGGGGGGGGTTGCGGCGCAGAACACGGCTGAAAGGGCGGCATGAAAGCGAGTGTCAGTAGCGCGCAGGTGGGAAATGAGGTCCTCAGTAGTGTTGAACGAGGAAAGGTCGGGGATTAGGTAGGGTAGCATGAGTCGGCCTATGGCTGCAGTGGCCGGGTAGGAGTAGCGCGCAACTACAGCGTCGTACAGCGTCTTAGCAGTTTTGAGCTGGCTGAAATGCGCGTGCTCAGTAATCGGCAGATGGTTCCTAATAGCTAGGCGTGCAGCAGCATTGCGAGTCTGCCACTGCGAGCGTTCGAGAGCAGGAGCATCGGCAGTGCCAGACACGTAATCAAACAGTGAAACGCCCTCTTTGGCATCGGTCAGAAGGAACAATTGGAGGTCGTCTAACCACACAGCGAACTCTATGGGGCTACCGTCAGGCTCGAACGCGAGAACGTTAGGCGTCGTCATAATGGCAGCAGGCAAAGGCAGTAGGCAGCAGGCAGCAGACAAGAGGCAGTAGGCACCAGGCCGCAAGCAAGGACAGAGGCAGCATGCAGCAGGCAGGAGGCAGCAGGCAGTAGGCAGAAGGCAGTAGCGGCCGCACGCGAGCTCCTAAAGCAACAGGCTAGGTAGCAGTGGTCCGCGTAGGCGGCCGACGTGACGCGCGGGCGGCAGACGCGGCGCGCGGCGTGGCGGCGGGCCGCGCTGGTGACAGACGCGGCGCGTGGGGCGACGGCGGGCTGCACGCGACGGCGAATTGCGCGCGGCGGCGCGCTGCGCGGGCTCGACGCAGGCTACGGGTGGGCCCGCGCGAAAAAGTGACGCGCAAGCGAGCAGCCGAGGCGCGCGCGAAAAAAAAAAGTGACACACGCGCGCGAGCAGCCGAGGCGCGTGCGAGCAGCAGGCAAGGCAGGCAGGCAGTAGGTGAGGTAACACAGCTACGGGTGGGCCCTATTCTTAGGTCCTAGAGACCTCCTGCTCTAGATACCATGTCGAGACTAAGGCAAGGATGATTTGACTAAGATGAGAATCATATATGAAGGAAAACCCTAAGGGGTTGTACTCTACAGCCTACCCAAATCTAAAACATAGATATTGTCAGAATGTTACATAGCTTATACATTTGTGTAGGCTATAGTGGGGTATCCCATAGGGGGTACAACCCAATTAGGGTTAGTACTTGTACTCACTCCTTTCATAGTTCATTCATTCTCGTTTCTATTTCCTCATGGTATCGAGCAGGTTCCCTCGTGGGAACTGTTCCTAGGGCCCACCAAAATCGAACATTTTTTTTCCTGCCCGGAGCGCGCCTCGCTTAGGCCTCCTACGGCCCCGTCGCGTCCCCCCTAGCGACCTTCCTTCCGCCGCCCTTACTAGGCCGTCGCCACCCTTAGCGGCCCGTCGTCACCCTACGCGGCCCGGCGCCGCCCTTTAGCCGCCCGTCCCGGCCCGTCGACGCCCGTGCGCCGCCCGTCCCGGCCCCGCGCCGCTGTCCCGGCCCGTCGCCACCCGTGCGGTGCCCGCCCCGGCCCGTCGCCGCCTGTCCCGGCTCGTCGCCGCCCGTGCACCGCCTGTCCCGGCCCGTCGCCGCCCATACCGGCCCGTGCGCCGCCTGTCCCGGCCCGTCGCCGCCCGGCCTGTCGCCGGCCGTACCGGCCCGTCGCCGCCCTTTGCGGCGTCACGTGCCGCCCCTACCCGCGGCTCTGCCGCCTTACCTGCGGCTCCGCCACCCTACCCGTGGCTCTGCCGCCCTACCCTACCTGCGGCCCCGCTGCCCTATCAGCGGCCCCGCCACCCTACCTGCGGCCCCGCCGCCTCACTCTCGGCCCCGCCGCCTCACTCAGCGGCCCCGCCACCCTACCTGCGGCCCCGCCGCCTCGCTCTCGGCCCCGTCACCTGCTGTAGCGCCGCCCGCCACCCGAGCCGTCTCACCCGGCCGAGCAGCCGACCGCCGCGCCGCCCTACAGCAGCACAACCGAGCCGCCCGGCAGCAGAGCAGTCGAGCCGCCCAGCAGCCGAGCCGCCCAGCAGCCGAGCCGCCCAGCAGCCGAGCCGCCCTGCAGCCGAGCCGCCCAGCAGCCGAGCCGCCCAGCAGCAAAGCCGCCAAGCCGCCGAGCCGCCCAGCAGCCGAGCCGCCGAGCCGCCCTACTTCCGGGCTGCCCGACCTGCCCAGTCTGGTGAGCACAGCGCCTTTTTCACTGCACTGCCCTCACCCTACTGTTTGCACTGCTAGTTGTCTAGGGTCATGGCTACCCCTAGTGTCCTCGCCTTTGACGCTGAGGGTCGGGCCATTGACTTTGACGTCAGGGTAGATGACCTGCAGCTGTTCTTACAGTGCGATAGGGCAGACGGCCTCTCTCTCTTTGACCTCACCTCTGGCGCTTCCCCTGCCCCTGCTGCTGATGCTGACGCCACTGTTTGCTCCCAGTGGGCCACGCGCGACGTTGCTGCACGTCTTGCTGTGCGTCGCCACCTCCCTACCTCCGAGCGTGCGCACTTTAGTCAGTACAAGAGTGCTCAGACCTTGTACGACGCTGTAATCGCGCGCTACTCCTCCCCTGCCAGTGCTGCACTGAGCCGTCTCATGCTACCGTACCTCTTTCCTGACCTTGCTGCCTTTCCCACAGTAGCTGACCTCATTACGCACCTCCGCACTAGTGACACTCGCTACCGCGCTGCACTTCCTGCTGACTTCTGCGCCAAGAACCCCCCCCCCCATGTACATCACTCTCTACTACATAGTCACTCGCCTCCCTGACTCCCTTCGTGTAGTCAGGGACCACTTCCTCTCAGTCTGTCCCACCACTCTCACTGTTGACCTCCTCGAGAAGGCCCTCCTAGCGATAGAGAAGAGCATAGTCGCTGTAGGAGCCTCTCGAGGTGACCCGCGCACCCCCATCTTTGAGGGGTGTTCTCCCTCCCCCCTTCTGCCCTCTGTTGCCTCCGCTGCTGCGGCCGACCTCCTTGGTCTTGAGTCGGTCGGTGCGGCGTTTGCCCCTAGCGGGAGACGCCGCCCTGGCAAGGGCAAGGGGGGCAAGGGCGCTGGAGGAGCGAGCGGGGGCGGTGGAGGTGGAGGTGGCGGCGGTGGGGGGATTGGGGGTGGCAGTGGGAGTGGAGGTGGGGGTGGAGGGGTCGGTGGCGGCAGTGGAGGCGGAGGCGGCGGCGGCGGTGGCGGTGGGAGCGGAGGTGGCGGAGGTGGCGGCGGTGGAGGCGGAGGCGGAGGCGGCGGCAGTAGCGGAGGCGGTGGGGGTGGCGGTGGAGCTGGTCGCGGGTCTTCGCAGAGGAGTGGCTCCGGTGGTGGCTCGCGCCAGCAGCAGCAGCGCAGTCGTGAGACCCTGACCCCTCAGCAGCTCCGTGAATGGTACACTGCATGCCAGCGGGGTGGGGGTTTTGGTCCGTGCTCCTACGTCCTGCGCACCGGCGACCGTGCGGGTGAGTAGTGTGGGGGAGCCCACCACACCCAGCGCTGCTTTGGCCGCCTGACGGACGGTGGCAGTTCTACCACCCCACCTCTCGGCGTGTTCTGTCCTCCCAGGACGTCACGTTTGACGAGTCGGTCCCCTACTACCGCCTCTTCCCATACCGCACTCCGTCCCTCCCCCCGCCACCGCTCTACCTTGTGCCAGTTCCCCCCCCGGTAGACCCCCTCCCCCCTCAGGGTCCTGCCCCTTCAAGTGTGTCCCAGGTAGGCGCAGTCGAGCCTGTCAAGGTTACTGGTGACTCTGGTGCTGCTGAGGGTGCTGAGCCTGGGGGTGCTGACTCTGGGGGTGCTGAGCGTGTGGGTGCTACGCCTTGGGGTGCTGAGCCTGAGGGTGCTACTACTAGGGGTGCTGAGCCTGGGGGTGCTGAGCCTAGGGGTGCGACGCCTGGGGGTGCTGAGCCTGGGGGTGCTACGCCAGGGGGTGCTGAGCCTGGGGGTGCACGCCTGGAGGTGCTGAGCCTGGGGGTGCGGAGCCTGAGGGAGCTGGGCCTGCTCGTGTGGCGTCTGGCGGTGTTGGGCCTGGAGGTTTTCTAGGTGCTTCGTCTCGGCAGGAGCCACTCTCTCCACAGGAGCTGCGCGAGTGGTTTGCCCTTCGCTGGAGGCGTACTGCTGGAGCTGGAGGTTCTTCGGCTGCTGAGGGTGCTGGTGCCGCGGGTCCCGGAGGTGCTCGTACTGGGAGTACTGGAGCTGCTGGGCCTGCGGGTATGACTGGAGCAGGAGCTGCTGAGGGTGTTGGCGCTGAGGCTACTGCTGTCGGTCCTGGAGGCGGTCCTGCTGTGTGTGGAGTCGCCGCGCGGCCTCGGCCGTACTTCGTTCCGCTCCTGCCTTCTACTGGTCCTCCTCCTCCTTTAGAGTGTCCACAGCCTGTCCCCTCACAGTTACAGTCACAGCCGGCCTTCCCACTGCCCGATCCTTCTCCCTACACTGGTCCTACTCGAGGTCTTGCTGAGCGTCGTGAGCCTGCGTCTCGCCCTGCGTCGCCTGTCCGTCCTGCTCGCACTAGTGGCCGTGGTTTGCGTCAGCGTCCTCCTCCTGCCCCTGGCACGCACTGGATGTCTCTGCGTCCGTCCACTGCTCCTCTGCGTGCCCCTTTGCCTTCTCCTCCTGAGTCCTCTCTTCCTGCTCTTGCCGACCCGGAGTCGGACTCTCTTCGTACTGCCAGTCCTACTGTCACGCGTCTTCTTGCTACTGTCGTCACTGACCCTTCCTTTGAGTCCACTGTTGCGTCTGCCCTAGTTGCTGAGCTCGTCGACTTTGCTGCTCGCTGTCGTCTAGACTACGCTGCTAGTCTTGTCGCTGAGTCTGAGTCTGTCTGTCCTCCGTCCGTCGGGGGTGAGTGTGCCCTTGGCACGGACGTCCTTGAGGACAGGCAGGAGGAGTTCCAGTGTTTGGCTGCTGCTTCACCTCATCTCGTGTCCGTACTGGAGACCCGGATGCACTTGACATCCCGACTCCGCGATCTTACGCAGAGGCGACAGAGGGTCCCTACTCCTCTCAGTGGCAGGCAGCTATGGACACAGAGATGGCTTCCTGGAAGTCCACAGGCACCTACGTTGACGAGGTTCCCCCGCCTGGGGCGAATATCGTCAGTGGCATGTGGATTTTCAGGGTGAAGCGGCCGCCGGGTTCTCCGCCTGTCTTCAAGGCGCGTTACGTGGCTCGTGGCTTCAGTCAGCGGCAGGGAGTTGACTACTTTCAGACCTTCTCTCCCAACCCGAAGATGACCAATCTTCGGGTACTGCTGCACATAGCTGCTCACCGCGACTACGAGCTGCACTTTCTTGACTTCAGCACTGCTTTCTTGCAGGGCAGCCTGCACGAGGAGATCTGGCTGCGTCGCCCACCTGGCTTCACTGGGTCTTTTCCTCCTGGCACCCAGTGGAGCCTCCGGCGGCCAGTCTACGGTCTCCGCCAGGCACCGCGTGAGTGGCACGACACACTAAGGACTACACTTGCGGCTATTGGGTTTGCTCCCTCTACTGCCGACCCGTCGCTGTTTCTGCGCACCGACTCTTCTTTGCCGCCATTCTACATCCTCGTGTACGTCGACGACTTGGTCGTTGCCACTGCTGACATTGCTGGACTCGCCCACGTGAAGTCCGAGCTGCAGAAGAGACACACGTGCACTGACCTGGGTGAACTGCGCAGCTACCTTGGCTTGCAGATCACCCGGGACAGAGCACCCCGCACCATTACCCTGACTCAGTCACACATGATGCAGCAGGTCCTTCAGCGCTTCGGCTTCACGTACTCCTCGCCTCAGGCCACTCCTCTGCCTACTCGCCACTCGCTCTCAGCTTTGCCTTCGGATGAGTCCGTAGAGTCAAGTGGCCCGTATCCAGAGCTTGTTGGCTGCCTCATGTACCTGATGACCTGCACACAACCTGACCTTGCATACCCTCTTAGCATTCTCGCACGCTATGTTGCTCCTGGGAGACACAGACCGGAGCACATGGCTGCAGCAAAGAGGGTGTTGCGCTACTTGTGCAGTACGTCGGGCATGGGGCTTGTGCTTGGAGGGCGGAGTCCAGTGGTCCTCACTGGGCACGCAGACGCTTCTTGGGCTGACGACCAGGCTACGCAGCGGTCGTCACAGGGTTACACCTTCAGCCTTGGTTCCGGCTCTGTTTCGTGGCGGGCTACCCGCTCGTCTTCTGTTCTCGGCTCCAGTTCTGAGGCTGAGATCTACGCTGGGTCCATGGCTGCACAGGAGCTTCGCTGGCTCACCTACCTGCTTACTGACCTCGGAGAGCCGCCTCGTTCTCCTCCAGTGCTGTAGGTAGACAACAAGGCCATGCTGGCCTTGTGTCGAGAGCAGAGACTGGAGCACAGAACGAAGCACATTGCTCTCTGCTACTTTCTTGCTCGTGAGCTGAATATGTTCGAAGCGCAGTGGCACGAGGTCAACTATCTCGTGCGAGTCACCACTGCAGTCGGGGATGTCAAAGTCCAGGACATACACTACGTTTTCGGATTATGCTCGCCTGATCTGCCTGCGGGGGAAAGTCCTCGACTCGTAGTGCAGTAGAATGTCACGCGTTGCACGATCCGTGCTGAGATCGACGCCCGAGTCCATGAGCTGTGCGGCGGAGAGCAGGTTGAAGCGCAGGTTCTGGACGATCAACACATCGTTGAGCGTGATGTGCATGCGGCTTCTGCGTGCCTTGAGCACGACGATGCCTTGCGCGCTTGCGCGCAGGCGTGTATTGTTAGCCACGGTGATGTGGGTGACTGTGAGGGTGGCGGCGGCATTGGATATGTAATGCTCCGACCCCACCATGTGCTGGCCGCAGCAGCTGTCCAGATACCAAGTGTTGTAGCGCTTCCAGTCGTCATGTGCGAGTAGTGCCAATCGTGGCGTGACGATGTGCGGAGTGTCAAACTTAAGAAATTGCTCGCGCGAGAGCCAATCGAGTGGCGCCGCCCGCATATCAGGTACGTGCGGCGGGCTTTCAAGCAGCGGGACTGGAAGGTTCCAGTCCTAGTCGTCATCATCGGTGAAGTCGTGGCGCGGGCTGAACGGATTGTTGTTGGTAAACGCGCCAATGGGATGCGGTGCTGGCTCAGGTGATGGTGAGCGCACGCGGCGGCGACGCGACTCGCCCGTCATGGCCATGTTGCTCATGACGTTGCATACTGGGGCAGTCGATGACGGCTGCTGCTGCTGATGCTGAACCGCTGGGTTCAGGTTGCGCGTGGGGGGTTGATACCCCTGGGCTGGACGCATGTCGCCTCGTGCGTCTTGTCGGCTGGACCAATTGCTCGGGATGGTCTGGCGAGGGCGGGATCGGGATTTACATCGATCCGCCAAATGCCCGAAGCTTCTACAAATCTTGCAGTAGAGGCGCCGCGGCCGTCGCTCTTCGTTGTTGTCGGCGTAGAAGGCGAGCCGTTCACGTTCTCGTCGTGGCGTTGGTCGCAGCTGATCCATATCCCGTTGTTCGACGAGAAGTGTGGCGCAAAGAGCGGCCTCCGAGATGACCCTCTGCTGCCGGAGAGGCGCCTTGCATGGCCGCCACTCTGGGCCGAGCCCTTGAAGCACGATGTTGACAAAATTCTCTTCTGATATCGAGCTTCCCAACTTCGCGATTTGATCGCGAAGGCTCCGACAGCGATTGATGTAACTATTGGCCTTCTCCCCGAGGGCCATTTTGGTTTCCTGTAGCTGCTAGAGCAGCCGGCTCTAAGAAACAGAGTCCTTCAGCTGATACACGCCGTTCAGGTGGCGGCAAGCGTCGAGGGCTGGAGCAGCCAATGTCTTGTATGAACGAATGTTCAACTGCTCCGCCGGTGTCATGTTGCGCAGGAGGATGCCGTACGCCATCAGGGACTCGTTGTAGTACCTTGTCCTAGCGTCGTCGGTGTCCTTAGCGGGCTCCGCGTAACTCCCGTCGAAGTAGTGAAAAATCTGAGCGTTCTGCAGCAGGAGCTCCAGCTCGAAGCTCCAGGTATAGAAGTCTTTGCCATCAAAACACGCACTTGTCTTTATTTTTGATATGCTGAGAAACCTTGATTGCGCAGAGAGAACTGCCTCTTTACTGGTGTCAGAACATTATAGCTTATGCATTTGTGTAGGCTGTAGTGGGGTAGCCCATAAGGGGTACAACCCAATCAGGGTTAGTACTTGTACCCAACTGTTTCATAGTCCATTCATTCTCGTTTCAGTTTTCTCATGGTATCGAGCAGGTTCCCTCGTGGGAACTGTTCCTAGGGCCCACCAAGTCGATTTTTTTTTTTCCTGCCCGGAGCGCGCTCAGCCCTAGCCCGAGTCGCGCTCCCCTCTCTCGACACAGTCGTGCCGCCCTAGCGGCCCCGTCGCCTACCTCGCGGCCCTCACGCCGCCCTTCGGCCTCGTCGC